ACGTGAGCCATTTTAGCATACCTCCACGAATTCCAACTGAATATAGTTTCTCAATTAATTTGTGGATGTCTACTCTGTCAAAAGCCTTGGACAAGTCAAAATAAAGAACATCAGTTAATCGATTTTGTGCCAAGGCTCTTTTCCAGTAAAAATCACAAGTAGTCAGTTGGAGAGTAGTGGAAGATCCCTCCATAAACCCAAACTGTTCAGATGGTATGAGATACTTCTGCACGCAGAATGACAGCAGTTTTCTTCTTACAATCTTCTCAGCAACTTTGCAGACCACAGAGTTAATACTTATGGGCCGAAACTCCGAGGCCTTTTGTGGGTTCTCAACTTTAGGGACTGGTACCACTCTTCCGTGCTTCCATACTCTGGGTAATTCACCACTGCTCAAAGACATTTTGACAAGTATTGAAACAGGAACTGCTAACTGAGTGGCACATCTTTTGTAAACCATCTGGGGAATTCCATCGGCAGTAATGAAGGTCGATGGTTTCAGTCTTTTCAAAATGTTCATAACATCAAAAGGCAGGACTTGAGGAACTTGTGAAAGATATAAGGAACTTTGTATCTGATTGATTAGATCATTAGGAAGGCTAGGTCTAGAGTTTGTCGGTTTCTGGAAAACCGATGCAAAATAATAAGCAAGACATTCGGCATTTTCTTGATCAGTCTTGCATAAATTTCCTTGTTGATCATGTAATCCTTGAGGGCCATGCTTTTCTTTGAAAATCAGGTGGGCATACTTGAAGAGAGAGGAAGTGTTCATGTTAGATAGTCTTTTCTGTCTATTCGCGTTGAATTTGGCTAGGTGTCTGTTCAACTTTTTCACCACGTTTTTATATCTATCAGATGTTAACGGGTCATGGATTGTGCAAAACAAGCGATCCCTTTGTTCTATCAAGTTCTTGATGTGGGTAGGGTAGTGGTCAATCTTGTACCTTGCTCGTATCAATGGGATGAAACGCGACAGTAAGTCGTGTAAAAGGTCAAGAAAGCGTTGATACATGTCATCAATATAGCAAGAATTGTCGAGCAGGGACCACCAATCAATAGTGTCCAAGCAGGCAGAAATGGCCAATTACCGCTCGCATAGTCAGGGCAACAATCCATACAGGGGAAATCAATCGGCAACATAAGGTCACAGTAAATGCTTGCATGGTCAGATAACCCAAGCGGTGGTCGTATAGTCACATTATGTACCAGAGGCGAAGTTGACAGTACCAAATCAAGAATATTATCATTCCTCGTAGGACACAGTACATGCTGAGTGAAAGAAAGATCATCGAAAAACTTGATAAACCTGGCAGATGCAGAGCATAGTGGCGTTCTAGCCGACCAATCAATAAGCAAGTTAAAATCGCCAACAAGAACAATATCACGATGAAGGCTACAAAGAATTTGCAACGAATCAATGAGTTTGGAATCATCACTATGAGAAGAAGATGGAGGGCGATAGACGAGGATAATTATACATTGAGAATGCGTCACATTATCTGATATTTGTAAGCATAGTGTTTCACTCAACCCCAAACTAGTTACTGGTATCTCTTCACAAATAATAGCTTCTCGGACCACGCCTTTCTGGACGATCCTTTCGAAAAATTCTGTATGGAAGGTTTGAGCTCAATTCGGAAGATTCAACAGAAGATGCTAACCAAGACTCAGTTATCTTATATATAAAGCTGAATGTCTTTTTGAATGTCTGTCTGTATGTCTGTCTATACGTATGTTCCGAATAGAAAAATCCATTTCTGAACCGATCCGGACCAAACTTGGCACACATACACTTCGGGCCCCGGCGGGTGTCATAGGCTACTTTTCGTCATCGATCGATATCGATTTTATCGATTTTTTGCAAAATTTGAGCTACGGGGCTGGGAGTTGGCACAGGGGGGTAATCGAGCATGCTGATTACGAATATAATAATGACAGGGCCGGGCGGAGCCGGGTAAGTCAACTAGTACAAACTAAATCTTGCTTATCATGTACCAAGAGAAGACGAAATAAATCAATTTTGTTTGATAAACTGCGGGCATTCAACAACACACATTTCATATTACGGGTACCATGCTCATAATTTAGTTTCCCTGCTTTGGTTGTTGCCCTGAGCTCCCTTGCAGATCGGCGACTTTGACCAGATCCCCCTTGTAGACAACGTATGCTTTGTACCCAAGCTCCTGATTTTTTACGCGTGCCTCCTTACGCAGCTCATATTCCTTTTTACGTTGGTCTGCTGTAAAACTTGGCCTAATGTATATGTTAGAAAACCGGGGATTGTTGCGCAGCAATTTAGCCTTGCTAGGTACTGCGAGGGAATGCGCCTTACAAGGAAGGGATGGTTGGTCGTAATGGCATTTTGAGATGAATTGTACACCATGGTGGAGGGCATAAAACGCTGATTCCAAATCTGTCTTCCTTAACTGCGGCGCAAACCTGGAGGAGAAGTTATGAGCGTTTGAAGGAGCAAAAAAATTAGTGTTTTTCTGGGATAAAATATTGGCTAAAATTTTCTTAGCGCTTGAATGAGACAGCCGGAGTGTGGGTATATCTCACCTTAGAGTATTTATTTTATAGAGTGTTGGAAAGATTACCACTGGTCCATTTAAGCGCTAGGAATAATGTTACTACTGTTTCTATATTATTTGCACATTCAATTTCTTCTCCAATAAACGCTCATAACTTCTTGTGCAGGAACGCACCGCAGATAAGGAAGACAGATTTGGAATCAGCGTTTTATGCACTACATAATGATATACAAGTCATCGCAAAAGGCCCCTTCGACTGACCATCCTTCCCTTGTTAGATGGGAACATGATTTTAGTCAAGCGGGGTTTGCCCTCTGAACTCTTCCCCATCCTAAAGACAGAAGTAGGCCTGACCTCAACTCCAAGATCATCTAGGATATCGGTGACCTTGGATTGGATTTAGATGCTAATTCCGGTATCCCGGCGACCACAATGCTTCTCACACGAAAGAACTCTTCACAAATTATACGAGAGTTGACCAAGATTGATCGCAAAGCATGGAGCGAGTCCATACCTGCGATGGGACACGGGGGGGGGACTCTCGAGAAAAGTCGATATCGTGTGTAAATGCATAGATATGTCACCAGAAAAACCGGGATCAGACAAACGCAATGAGAGGATCATCACTTAGAGTTTGGGAGATCTGAGAAATCTGAGAAAAAGAGGCTTTGGATTTGCTTTGAGAAGAACGAGTTGCAACCATGACAAAATCGACAAAAAGATCGAGAGCGCCAAAGAAACACGACCGCTCAATGCGCGGGCAATGATAAGAATGATATGTCTTTTATCTGCCAATATCTGTTGACCATTTCCTCATTATTTGTGCGATTGAATGGGAGGAGTTAAGAGCGTTCAAATATGAGAAATTTTTCGAGTTTCGACGAACACATTTTCTTGGAGGGCAGTCTGATTTCGCAGATTTACTGTGGCTACGGCTATATTGATTATATGAAAGACATTAAGACATTAAGACACACACTGACCAACTAAATAAGTGTTTTCAAGTGTTCCGTGGGACATACGGCACAGAACACTCAACAAATCGCACATTTAAACGCTCTTAATACCCAGATAGTTGCTTGGCGGATAAAAACATGAAAGCTACTGCATGACGAAGGCGCAGAAGCAGTATTACTTAAGCGGGCGCGAACGCTGCGCGCGTATCTTCACCGTTGTAAATCCTGCGTCTCAAGCGCTCTGCGGCTAGTAGAGCAGCGTTCACGTCCAAAGATATTGCGCCTTTGCCATGCAACAACCTATATATTTGTGATCAGCATTTCAAGACGAATTCGATTGTCTTATATATATATATATATACATATATATAAAACTCAAAGTTTGTGCAACTCATGACCGTATGTTTTTTATAGACTCTTTGCGCGTGAACCGATTGAGCTGAAATTTTGCACATATATGTTTTCGACCCCGTAGATGGTTTTAGGCTATTTTTTGAAGCGATTCGTTAGAACCTTGTTATTGATTTATTATTTCTTGCACTTTGCAATGAACGTGAAGTCTTACCAACCACTAACATACCCCATGCAGGTTTTGGTGTAAACAATAGCAGAGAAGCTCATTCTAAGCTCTAACAAGAAGAATGCGGTAGAGCTGACTGGTTACCAAGTTTTTAAATAAGTTTTTGATGTCGTCGGATTAGAACATGTATATACCATTTAAAATGTCATGTATGTAGATCCGTAATTGACTAGAATCTTGGATTCAACCTAGAACAGCCTGGCAAAGCCGGGTACAGCGGCTAGGATACAATATGTTTGGTGTGGCTGAGTTAAATTCTGTCCATTCCCTGCTAAGCATCTTCTCCACTTTCAGGCCAAGGCAAATCCTATAACTCACAAAAACACTTTTTCTAAATTAGTGCACTTTTGTGATCAGCTCAGCTGATTCCCCTCCCCCCCCCCATCTGCACAGTTTCGGGCACATCTAACTTCGACCACTACCGGCCTACCATAACTTTATAGAAAAGGCAAAACTAAATGAAATAAAGTATGAACTTCTTTATTAGCATGTCAAATAATCCCGCTAAGTTGAGTCTGAGCAAAATTTAGGTGTTTGTAATTGGCCTTCTTATTGGAATGTAAAAACGGCTACCGGCAGCTGTAGGGGCTAGCGACGGCTGCTGGCGTATCTGCATTCTTAATTGAACGACTCAAAAGACTTTAGAATTGGATATGAAGCAAACGTCCAAGTCTCAGCGAGCTCAAAAACCAAGTTGCGCGTGGGTATCTATACCACTTTGTTGAAATGGCTACATGTTTATTACAACTGCTTTTGATTAGCACACTAGGTACGATGCAAGTGAGGCCGAAACGCATACTCTTCTGTATCAGGAAAAGCATGAGTAAGATTTTTAGGGTTCTGTTAATGGCAATCATGACACAAAATATTCACTTTTCTATTGTATGAAAACGAAGCTAGGTATAGTCGCTTGGATTAAAGTTCATTATTTAGGATTATCTTACAAAGTTACATGCTCAGTAGTGGAGGAAAGAAGGATGTTGTTACTCATGTGAACAGTACCGAGGAGACTGTAAGTGTTGCAAACCTTTTTCTATCAAATAAAACTTAATGCGGTCCAACGATACTACTTTTCTCATTCAAACTGGCTCGGCAAATGACATAGATGTTCGTCAATGTGAGATCTTACGTGCTATATAATAAATATCACAGTAACAAGCATTTCAATAAGTAGCCTTTCGGTCGTATTTTCGTACTCTTCAAAATTATGTAAGCACGACTTTTCTAGCTAGTAGTGACCAAAAGGCCCAAAAATATACAGATTGCGAGAAAACACACTAGAAGGTACACGAAACTTGGGTCTGCCACTGAGGCTAGTCCTGTCAAGTAGAAATTATGTAGCTTTGGTCAACGTCGCCCTCGGAGTACGTTGGGCGGAGCATTTGCAGACATTTGAACACGTTGACAAACTTGTCAAACCTCTACTGCAGAGCATGGCTCTTTGCACTCTCTAAACTGCCACGTATATATGCTGTTGTAACACGTGGCAGCTGATAGAGAAAGATTACCAAAAACAATACCTTGCATTAAAGTGTCAACAAGTTCAACAACGTGTTCAGCAGTCTGCAAATGCTCCGCCCGACGTACACCGGGGATGCGACGATAACATGATCAAGTGTCCATTTGCCCTATCTTGCATTACAGAATGGAACGTCAGCTTATATCATTGGTCCTAGAAAGGAAGAAAACAAGAGATACGCGAAACTCGAATTTCGATACATAGGAGGATACAACATCTCTGTCAGAAAAGGTGGAAATGCTTGGCTGAGCTGAGCAGAGCATGCATAAGTATCATTACTATTTTTAGGTCCCATAATGACCTATCAAGAACTTATAGTAGTAAATATCACCTTTCAAGAACTACTTGATAAAGTAGTGTTTCGTTGGTCTCTTACTGGAACGTGCAAACATGAAAAGCCAATTTACTCTATCAGGTATGACGAAATTTGCTAAAATTTAGCGGAACTTTCAGCAGATATCCACAATCTCTTCCTCAAAGAGTTTGTAATCCTGATGGGCAAAAACCAAAGTACGCAAGTATCGAAAACTGCTGTGCCAAACAGGTTGCTAGGTGGCTTTATTTGTCAATTTGCGGCCTTATGTTTGACGCTTCCGTCTGCGTCAAAGGTCTGAAACGGTTCAAATCTTTACGTATTTCAGCCTTGTCAGTTCTCAACCCTTTCCCTAACCTGTTGCTACAAAACCTGCAAAGATGACATACGAAACCACGTTCCGTTTAGTGGAGGAACGGTCAAGATAGGACGGCGCGATTCTTCCGCGAAACGAACCGCGCGAAATCCACGATATGTAAAACTCCTCTTACATGCTAATTGTGGCATCACGTCATGTATCTGCCTCCCCCCCCCCTAATTGACAACCGTGGCACATTGAACCGGAACGTGTTTGACGAGCACAAATTCCGTGCGCGGTGTGCGCGATGCAGAGACGACATGCACCTATGGGTCAGGAGTCACAAAGCACTCTGCGGCCGCATGCCGCGCACGTCGTGCTTGATTTCTGTGCCCCACAACGCCAAGCCAAGGTGCTAAAGTAGGGCCGAAGGGTTGGAGTGACGTCAGATAATACATGCTTGATGCCCTGACTAAACTTTAACAGAAGCGCTGATGACAGATGCCTCTTGCACTGTCTGATTTTGCGAAGTGACACCGCTTTGCGAATAATCGTGGCTCCTGCCCGTTAGATGTCCGTGCGGATGAAGACGGCACCCTCGAAAGATCAACGCAACAAATCTTGTATATTCCTTCACCCCGTTATCTCATTATTCAGTATCAGTGCGTCACCTCTGCTTCGCAGAGGCTCGCACTGGCCCTATTTCCTGTATGCCTTACTCATTCCCGCATAATAATGACACTGAAACTCACCGCTCGATGCAGGCTATCACGAATGATTTGTAAACAACTACTCATTTCGAGAGCTTTTTTGTGCGAGGTCAGTATTTTCGCGTGAATGAAACTTTTCCGAGAGGAAAAAATGCAAATTTGAATCGGTTTTTGGACTTTTGATGGTCCGGTAGTAGCCATAAAGACAATGATCACCGTGGGCTACATCTCTGGGCAAAAATCTCTGTGCAAAAATCAAAAATCAGCAGGACATCTACTAATTCTGGAGGCATTACTTTCTAACTATGAGCAAGTGAGTAGATGTTGACATCATTCAAACAAAAACTTACATCTTTCTTAAGATTCCTTAATATGACAAATCCTTTCCAATCTCATGAGTCTCAACCCTGTTCACTATGCACTAATGAAGGAAGTGTTGATTGTGACTATAACTTAAGCACTTTGCACAATACGCTCACTACAGAATTCATGATCACTTGGGCATAAAGTCAATCGCAGCATAAGTAGTGCTCATGGACATAATTGATTAAGACTTACGTCAGGAATAGTTTCACTGCACTCCACTAACAGAAGTTCACAATGAGACATGCTGGCCATGTTTACGTATATCTGTGGAGCTGGTTCGATAGCTAATAAAATGAATTCATATTCATTGCTGTCAAAAAATCATTAATTTGATAGAAGACCCAGCAGATCTTGGTGAAAAGTATCATAAAACTGTCTCCGGGGTCGAAATTGTATGTAACGTTTTAGCCCAATCGATTGAGCTGCGGGCATTTTTATAACGCACATACCCTCCAAACAGACGATCTGATTTCTATATATGGAGAATGAAATGGCCAAACATAATCAAATAAAGTAGGTAAATTAATTCCTGTTTTATGCGGCTTTCAAAACACCAAGCAAACTCTGCAAAAAAACCTCTTTTCTCTTCTTTTGTCGCCGTAATCAGCTGTCCATTAATTTTCGCCTACTTGGGTCCCGTATGCAGCTTGGTGAGATTTGCACCACAACGATACGCCAATTGAATGGTGCTGTAAGTTACTCACGTGCAGCTTGAATAAATACTGTCTGACTATCCTCTTTTGCACACTATCTTCCTCGGTTTACCATAGGATCTACCTTCGCAGTAGTGGCATTCTGTTGAACTGAACGCAAACTTGAGCGGACGGCTTTTGACGTTCAACTGACTGCCTCGAAGTACGGAAAGGTGGAAGGTCTTAGGTTTAACCTGCTGAGAAGTTTTTCTGAACGTCTCATCTCAGGTCAGCTGTAATATGAGGACTGCAGACCACATGCTGATAGCTCCTTACACAAAAGTGCACAACAGATAGCGAACGCGTAATTAAGTTCAGAACTTTTGTTGCCATACATCTCGTCCCAAAAAGCAACTGTCACTGGGTGGAATTGGAGACGTTTTTTTCGCTTAAAGGCAGCGTTCCGGCAGAAAGATGGTTGTAGGCTTATTGTGGCGATGTTAAAGTAGACCCGACCATTCACCTAACGAGGGAAGGATACTTGGTGACCGTGGCTTTTTGCATTAAGATGTATACCAATAGGTGAGCCTTGGAACGCTGATTCTAAGTCTATGTTCATTATCTGCTGTGCGACTCCCTGAACGAAGCTTGGACTTTTTCCAGTATTGATTTTGCGAGATTTAGACAGTCAAAATCGTCAGTATCCAGGCTTTTTAACCCCTGATGTATTGGCGACAGTTTTCCTGAACTCAACGCTTTATCTTTACGCTCTTTTGTAGTGCCTAAACGAACATTCTAACGATATTGGTGAATCCTGCATCAAAAACAGTGCAAAATTTGGTGACAAGAAATGTTCATAACTTCTTTCGCAAGAGCGCACAGCAGATAATGAAAACGGATTTGGAATCAGCGCTTCAAGATGCATTTAATGGTGTACGTTTCATTTCAAAAGGCCACGGTCACCAAGTATCCTTTCCTTGTAAGCGATGACTGGGGTTTAACAAGCCGCTTGCTCCGAAAGTGGTTCGATCTTACGGTAAGCCCGACTGCCGCCCGCACAGAGATTTCGAACTGCAAGGCCAGAGCACGCATAGCGCTCACAGTCATGAGCGAGAGGTCCCGCAACGACTCTGCGTCTCTACCTTGCATGCATCTAGTACTCGCCCGAGCCTACCGTAAGATCCGGCCCACTCGCAAGGCGATTTGTAAACTTCGTAGACTCCCTTTCGCGCTGCAAACTTCTGTCGTCACTTAGTTGGAGAGGGGATCTACTATCATGTTACTACAGAGCCAGACACATCCCAATTCGGTGGGACGCTGCCTTTGAACAACATGGCTGGTGGCAGGGCTCAGCACGAGGTGGCTTTTGAAAAATGTAAGAAACGAAGTCGCCTTTGACTTTCGCGAATTTTTCGAAGTCCCTTCACCCTAAACATTAAATGCAAAAAAACCCTCGAAAACGACTAGGAAAAAAAACCTCACTTTTGTGTATTTTCGGCTTCAAAAACGATACCACCCTTTCTTCAGTATTGTCCAAGTTCGACTCTCGATTAATCTCCCTTCGTTTTTTCTCCCAAAAACGATATCCAGCTTGCTTACAAGCCACCTGTGCCGAGGCTGATGGATCTTGAATGATGTGTTGTTGCAGGGGACTGAAGCTTATAATTTTAGATGCCAACACAAGGAGCAGAACATCTGAACTTCGGCTACTTTTTTTTAACCACAAAACACCTTCATAAACCCAAACAAGCCGCTTGCGTCCCAGTTCTCGCGTACCTCAAAGAAGTTTTCCCAAAAAACAATGACTACTTAGTACTTGGCTGAGGTTACGATATCTTATACTTCGAGCAAGGAGTCACAGTTACTAAGCAGTCACTTTTATTTGCCTTTCTTGCCAAACATCTCAAAAAGATATCACTCTGTATTTCGTACAAATGTGACACGTCATAGGAGAAGTCCATAAACTTTCTTTGTAATCATCGCATATATCATCAAAGAAACGAATTAGGAGCACGTCTGTTTCATAAAACTCAACCGTTTGCACACACAAATTCGCTAAGGAGTTTTCTTGTTTTGGAACATAAGAAGGGAAACGGCCAGGAAACATATGACGTTTCATATGTCACCCTTCTGATATTAAGCAATCTCAGAACGCTTTGTACAAATGTAAAAAGTTCTCACTTCAACTTCACTTATTGTATTCCTGTATAGGGGTAGAGGCGAAACAGGCTTAATAGTAATCCTTTATTTTTTATTCACCTATTTGACTTACTACTTGATGGTTCTATTAAAAATAAAATGTAATCATTTTGGAAAAACGTATGTGCTTAGCTACCTACTTTGTAGTCTCAGAGCGAAAAGATCTGGGTACCATCTCATATAATTGTGTTTTATAATAGAAAACAATTTCCTTGATTAGTAGGAGGATTATGTTTCAGCGCAACGCATGAGAACGGACTCGTCGATCAAATGAGGAGCGAGGATAGAACTGCTGTAAATTCAATGATCACATTTGAGAGGTGTCTTACTTTACCAGTTATACAATCAGGAAATCAAAATAACGAAGCGACCATGGAAATTTCGCGTAGAAATACATCCAATAATAGGAAATTACACAGGAGTAAAAGGAAACGCAGTAGTCCAACTGATCGAAAGAGGTCTGTTATTGCTTGGATCTAATTTGTATAGCTTTACTTCAGTGGCGGTCCCAGGATTTCCGTCCGGGGGGAGGGGGCAAAAAATTTTTTCAAACTAAAGTGCGTGGCGCCACGCACTCCGAAAAAATTTTGGGGGTGCTTCTCAAAATTTTAGCGGGTCCCCAACCTGTGTCAGCCACGTCCCCAAAAAAATTTTTACAAGGCTAATTTGAATATCTAAAATTTTTAAAAAAAATTCTAATTGTTTACAAGAATAAACAAGTCACTTGCGCATTTTTATAACCCATATAAGAATTTTCAAAAATTTCGCCACCCATTCTCGGGGGGGGGGAGGGCACGCTCTCCCGCGCCTCCCCCCCCCCCTCGAACCGCTACTGCTTTACGTATATAGTGCCTAGAAACGTAGTGCAGTCATACAGCATATCTTTTGCATTTTAAATATAAACTTCGCACGTTACATCAGTTTATACAAACAGGGCACTTTGTGCGAGCGAAATCCCAAATTCCTAGCGATTGAAAATGCACACGGTAATTTTTAGCTCTTAGTTAGCCAAATTCCTGTCACTCAGAAAAATCACGCTCTTTAAACAAAAGGTCTACTGTTGGACGAAGACGCAGCACTATAGATCAAGCGGGCGCAATGTAGATCAAGCGGACCGCCCGTAATTACACCATTTCAAATCCTGAGCCTTATGATCTCTGTGGCAAATAAAACTGCGCGCCGACGAGTTTTGCGTTTTCGTTTGGCTGTAGACTTTATATTGAAGGGACATTTGCATCTGCCTTCATACTCTTGAGGTTGTACAGACTTTCATCCCACAAGAGCATATAAGAGTTTTGCGCCTGCAAAATATCAAATAGCTCTTGCAAATCGTTGACCGCGTGCACGCGCGTGTACGAGCTCCCTGACTCCCATTTAACATTTCGTGCATACGGTATGCAGCCAGCTTTTCCGGTGAAAACAAAAAGTTGTAAGGTAATTTTTACGAAATGTTAACACTGGTGGCCTGAATGTCGTGTAGAACACAGAGCATCGCGGAAACTAATAGTTTGAACTGTAAATTTAGGTACCCAATCCATATTTGATGTGGTAAATATTAGGTTGGCTAATAAATAAGTTCGTTTTGACATGCAAATTCAAAACTTCATAACAATTCATGTAACAGCTATTCAGTTAAGATCTTTTCTTGAGAAGATAGCCTCAAGTCTCTACTCCTGAATAGCAAATAGTCAAGGTTTTCTCTTATTAAAAATGACAGTTATTACCATATATGGTCAGGCTTCTAAAAAATCGCTATTTTAAATTTCTAACTTACGTGCTCAGCCTGCAGTGAGTACAAAAGCGAGTAATTTGGAGGCTGGGTACATACAGCCTCTAGCTAGGTGGCGAACCACGATAGAGACTGCGACCTGCTGTTTCTGAATTTCTGCAGTCAAAATTGTAAAAATATCCAGGCATTTGCGCGTGAAGGTCAAATTTTGAGCATTCCAGATAACTCGAATTTGGCCATCTATGGCCATGCAGATAGTTGGAAATTCAAAAATTCGTTGTATGGGTAGCGAATCTACACTTTACACCTGACTTCAGTTCGTTTTTCGGAACGTGATTTTTCGAATTTTTGGGAAAAAAATCTGACCAGTTTTTTTTCCTTCACCATTTCATTATTAGAAAAATTGTTTTTGAAAAAACAGAGTCAACCAACCAATTCTCCTTGATTTGCTCTCTCCAGTGGTACCACATCTACACACAAAAACTGATTTGTGACAATTCTGCAAACCGCTAAAAACGACCGAATTTATTTTTTAGCCAACCTAATATATTGCTGGTTTTTTTAAGAAGGCGGAAGTTTTGTATAACTGTTCTGAGAGTAACCAAGGCACATCACCCTATATGACGTTTTTTTCGAAAGAAGATCTCCTAGACGTAGCCGTATGGGGGGGGGGGGAGGGGAAAAGAGAGGGGATATGCGACTTTACATAATATGTAATTCCTTGCAGAATTTGTTAGAGGTGCAACAACTGTCTGCAACAATATTTTGACAGAACATTTTGAAATTCAACCTCAGCTGAGCATGTTGCTGCATGCTGCCAACATATTGGTCACGCGTACTGTGACCAAGGGTAGCAGCAACTTTGAAAGGGATGATGCGTACAATTCTGGAAAATCCTTGCATGTTTATAAAACGTAAAAAGACTCTACATGATGATCTCGTGCGTACGCGCGTATGCACGTGCCAAATGCGCGAGAAACGTTAATGGAAATACCCAAAATGGCTCGGTCGTCAACTTGAATCGTGAGTAATTGAATGGAAGGATAATAACTTGTTCTGATAGTATGTGTTTGAGTCAGATAGAAAAGACCCAAACTCACTTGATTTTTCCACTTTTTAGAAATGGAGGTATTTCGTTGGATCCTTCGTGAATAGGACCTCCGCAACTTAGCTTGTTCTTCAATCCTCTTTTCGAAATCATTTCAAGTACCTGGCTTACTGAAGTTCACGGGAGTGATACACGGTTTCGTTTAATTCGTACTCGGGCACAACGTCTTCTCAAGTGCATTTTCCGAAAGATTTGGTCTGACTGTTCCTTTTGCAACATAATAATTTGTTAGACGTTTTCGTTGTTTTTAAAGCTTGTCAAATAGCTCTTTTAAAACATATACACAATGCACGCTTTTTCGGTTTTTTGCTCAAGTGTAACTTAAAAAAGTCCTAGTGCCCGCGCTTAGTGAAGGGAGGATAACCAATAATCATTACTTCACAATACATGCATAGCTGAGCAATAAAGAATGTGATTCAATGATTCATAATTTCTACATAAGAAATTGAAATTTCTGTAAAAAAGTCCACAAAAAGCTCCATATTTCTTTGAGACTATGGAGTATATTACAAAGATAAGGCTTGCTCTTGCAGTCGAATGTGGGAAACTCACTTGACTCAATTCTGGGACGTAAATGTTTCTCACGTCATGGACTGAATAACAAAACTAATTATTTCTTTGAAGAAAGGTTTAGACAACTCAAAACCGCTGGAAAGGGTTTTTCAAGTGCTTTTCAAAAAGATTATGAGAAAAAACTTGCTAAAGGATATTCGTCGGCGACTGCCCCGACTCGTGCAATTACACGGCGGCGTGGCGTTATGGAGCAAAGCTACGCCGCATTCGCCTGCGGTATATCCTAGGGCCCTTTGCGTTGTGTCGCTCCTAATTGCAGCCGCAGAGGAGCTAGCGTTACCTAGCGGATGAGTCATTCTCGAAATTCTTCTTCTGCAAAGAGACCAAAATACGGAATTTAAGCGAATTTTGAGGATGAAAAAATAAATTCTGAGGAAGAAGGTTTGAAAGTACCACCCAAGAGAAAGTAAAAGCTTGGAGAGTCAGTAACGAAAATTTTCTCTCCCTTTTTTCTACTAAATCTCGTGTTACACTTTGAAATTAGTCTTCTCATCCGAGATTCAGCCTTTGCATCCGTAAAATCCATCTATTTTTCGATTTCAAATACCTTTATTGCATTCATGCAGTTTGGATATCTTCTCAAGACTAGGGAATGGCTCAGTTCGTTGTTGGGAGCGGCGTACTCCTGCGGCTGCAGTTAAAGGCACGCAACGCAACTGGCCTTCAGGATATACCGCAGGGGAATGCAGCGCTGCTTTGCTCCATAACGCCTGCCCCCCCCCCAATTACACCACCTTGGGCGTGCTTTTCTGAGGCCTTTCCAGCTGGACACTACGGTCAAGGTGGAAAGGCTCCAAAAACACGCCCACGGTAGTGTAATTGCACTAGTTGGAACAGTCGTCGACGAATATCCTTTATTTGCAATCTTGTACAATTCCACTTGATTTGAAGTTGAAATTATAGGCCCGTAGTAAAGTATTTGCAATCTTGTACAATTCACTTGATTTGAAGTTGAAAGTAAAGCCCCATCAGGGCATCTTTCTCGGCGCGGACCGGCGTTGATCTCATCACGCCTCAGTCTAGCATCCGGCGAGCCATTGATCTGGGTGCGGATCATTTCCGAGGCATTACAGTCAAGTGCGTTCTTGAAGAACTCAGACAATTGGAAACTCTCAGCGGGCAGCCACAAAGCCGCCACCAATCCCCACCAAAAGCCCCCGCGCCTTATCGCTGCCACTGTGGATGCCCGCTGAATGCCATGTGGCTTCCACATCACTGCCGCTTCATAGCGGCCCGCTGACTGCCAGTTAAAGCATCCCGCTCAATGCCATCTAAAGGATCCCGCTGACTGCCAGTTAAAGCAGCCCGCTCAGTGCCATTTAAAGTAGCCCGCCCACTGCCGCTTATATTAGCCCGCTCAGTGCCGCTTACCGCACTCTCTCCTTTTCGGGATCCACTATCCTTCTGTACTTGCACTATAAACAAGCTGGGCATCATCTTTTATTAATCAATTGCCCGAAACAATACGATACTTTCAGTAATTTAGTATAATGCAATAAGGCACATAACAATAACTCAACGAAGAACAGATACAGAGGAAAGAAATCAACTCAAAAGATCATTTAGAGTGTCTTGATACACGTTCACGTAACGATACCTCAACAGCGAACAAGATAAAGATGAACGAAATGAGCTTACATTGATTGCCAACCTATACTGCAACATAACTGGTAACAGCAAATCAACGAACAAGATGCAGATAAACGAGATAAAGTCAAAATGAACGATCAAGGCATTGAGGAGAAATGAAGATGTCCATGCGGGAAGTGGTTTGAGGTGTTCTGCTCCAAACAAGATAATCAGGACCAACCATTTGATAGATTTTTGATGCATACCTTGATCGATTCGACAGCTTACTCAAGCGACAATGCGAGGTATGCCTGGTTTTGGTTCTGCAATTCTCTCAATTCCATCACTCGGTTAGTTTCTGGTGCTGTTCTTCTTCTTTTCTGAAAATAAACTTAGTCGCTTTTTGCAGAATTATAAGAGTTCAAGAATTTTTCGACAACTACTCACCGCGTGTGACAGCCACTGTTTCTTTTCCATGTCGTATTCATAAGATCTTATATCCCTCCTGCATAATATTTACTGATTTTTACTTCAACCAAAGTTTAGACTGGGTATGGCCTAAGCCGATCAAATCCATCGCAAAATCTGAAGTCAGAGTCAGTGCAATGCTGATGTCTGCGCAGTCCTTGGTATAACATCTACCCAAGAGTCTCACTTCCATGCCGCCAGTAGATATTACAGGTTGAGTTCTCTGCCAGCCTTGCAATGACGTTATGACGTATTCTTGGAATCGCTGAGAAGGCTTCGTCAGCTGCAAGTCGTTCAAGATAAGACGTATTGCGCATGCAGAGTGACGTAATCCTGCTGGAAGATAAAGCGAAGGGGCTTGCGAAGTGTTGATAGCACGGTTCCGTGATTTTGAAGTTGTAGTGCACCGCAATCTAAATTCCACCTAAAAGTCTCACATGCAGAGTAATATTATATCAGTCAGTGACAATTACGCTTCTGAATGGTTGTGCTTCATCTATCTTCCAAGTCCCCGTCAGATGTTTAGAGACATAAAACGTGCTTACCGATTCGTTATTCTTGCATTGTATGACTGCGATTCAAATGCATGTGCCAACCGATCGTATTTCGCAATCCGTATCTCGCTCTAGTAGAAATCTGGATTATCGCAGAAACAAAAGCAGTAATATACCATCAAGAAGTGGGCAACGGATCTTACAATTAGCATCGTATGGTCAGGCGTAAGTAAATTTACGAAAAAGTTGTGGTTAAGCCTTTGCACCCGAAAAGCAGCGTCAGAGTTGACATATTCCTGAGAGATTTTTCGATCATTTACGATCTTTACACCCAAGGATCTTCAATCTTTACCTACATACAGCTTTGTTGAAGGAATGATTTCGCTTTGTTCAAGATCACAGATGCAGCACACTTCAGATCAAGCGTTGCTCAGTGTATGCAGTCGTATAGCGTCCTAGGCTTCCTTGCAGATTGTCAAGAATTCAACCTGATACGATCTTTGTTCAAGATCTTCTATGGTAGCCGTTGTGAAAGTGCGACTTAGTATGGCTTAACAGGCGAGCACAAATTTCGACTTCATTTTCTACACTTAGATGTTCGTTGCAATCATCGTTCTTCTTTACTATAAGTCCTTTCCTTATGCAAAACATATGAACGTTTTATAGACTTACTTTAATAGACTTATAGACTTAGAAGTAGCTTAAGAAAATGGTGCCTGTGGCTGGACGACGGGGGCAGCAGCAAGTTTTGAACGTGCAGCTGTCCCTTTCCTCATCACTAATTGCCTGATAAGCTCTCAGATTTTTTGGTAGAACGATACCCGAAAGAAAAGCAGGCAAAGGCGGCTCGCATGTGTGCGACGTTGCCTTCATCGCTGCTTATTGGTCCAGGCGTATTTACAAAGAGTTGTGAACTTTATTCTAGTAAAGGCGTATAAAAAACCTGTAGGTTGTTGATTTGTTGTGAGTTGCTTTGACTAGTAGTCAGGGAAGCTCTATATGTTTAGCAAAGTCCTAGTTTTTTAGCAAGTTGACGACCGGGCCATTTTTGACCACTTCAAAAGGGACTGATGATCTACGGCTGCGGTTTAGACTGTTTAACAGCTACCGCAATGCCGTGTGTTCTATATGATAACCAGGCCAACTGTGTTATCACTGCATAGTAGTTACCTGAGAACTTTTCGTTTACACATGATAAATTGATGCACGAAACTGCTCAAAGGTGGTCAGGGCGTGCATACGCGCGGATGCACACGGTCGTCAACGTGTTAATGAGATTGTTGTTGTGATATATCTGATTCCCGCCATGAATTGCGAAATACGATTAGCGCACATGCATTTGAATCGCAGTCATACAATGCAAGAATAACGAATCGGTAAGCACGTTTTATGTCTCTAAACATCTGACGGGGACTTGGAAGATAGATGAAGCACAACCATTCAGAAGCGTAATTGTCACTGACTGATATAATATTACTCTGCAGGTGATACTTTTAAGTGGAATTTAGATTGAGGTGCACTACAACTTCAAAATCACGGAACCGTGCTATCAACACTTCGCAAGCCCCTTCGCTTTATCTTCCAGCAGGATTACGTCACTCTGCATGCGCAATACGTCTTATCTTGAACGACTTGCAGCTGACGAAGCCTTCTCAGCGATTCCAAGAATACGTCATAACGTCATTGCAAGGCTGGCAGAGAACTCAACCTGTAATATCTACTGGCGGCATGGAAGTGAGACTCTTGGGTAGATGTTATACCAAGGACTGCGCAGACATCAGCATTGCACTGACTCTGACTTCAGATTTTGCGATGGATTTGATCGGCTTAGGCCATACCCACTCTAAACTTTGGTTGAAGTAAAAATCAGTAAATATTATGCAGGAGGGATATAAGAACTTCTGAATACGACATGGAGAAACAGTGGCTGTCACACGCGGTGAGTAGTTGTCGAAAAATTCTTGAACTCTTATAATTCTGCAAAAAGCGACTAAGTTTATTTTCAGAAAAGAAGAAGAACAGCACCAGAAACTAACCGAGTGATGGAATTGAGAGAACTGCAGAACCAAAACCAGGCATACCTCGCATTGTCGCTTGAGTAAGCTGTCGAATCGATCAAGGTATGCATTAAAAATCTGTCAAATGGTTAGTCCTGATTATTTTGTTTGGAGCAGAACACCTCAAACCTCTTCCCGCATGGACATGGTAAAGTGACATGACCAGTAATGTACAATCTCTACCCTTTCATCGTCAACTTGTTGTTGGCTCAACAAAGAAGAAGTTAAATGCTCAAAATAACACTGCACTGTACTCTTCGCTCATGTTTTCTTGCCAGGACCCCACAACTTAGTATGGCAACGGTTCTGCGAAAGTTGAGGCAGAACCTACAAGTTATATGCTTTAATAATTCAAAAATATGTTGTTTAGGCGAACCATGAGGAAGAAGCTACGATCCTAATGAGATCGTATGCTGCTCGATAAAGCCGACTCCAGATGCAGCACTAAGATGCTACCGAAAGCACGAAACAGCTTCAAAAGTTTAGCAAAAGAATATTCAATGCAATTTTAGAATGAGCAAAGAAAAAAGAAAACACTACGTGGGCGCAAATATAACTGGAATCGACTGGTACCAATGAAGGATACAGTGGCAAAAAAGACGAACCTGAAGAACAGGTGGTACGACGCGCTATTTCCCAGATCACCAAACCAATTGCGTCTTGTGAAGTCTCTACTTCATGTGACCATGAGGCTTCATCGCGTGAAGAGAAAATTTTCACAGCAACCACGTCACCTTTCCAAGCTCCCAACCAAACCTTAAATTAAGTGAGACAGATAGATGATTCTCCACAGCATGTAGCATCAAGCGATCTTACGGGAAGAATACTTGGTCGAAGTGGCGTTTTATTATGAAATGTATACTGTCTTACTGATTTACGAGTAATAACAAGTCAATTGCATTTTTTTATAACCGAATTGTCCTAACTTCATGATTGAGTTTTTTGACTTTGATATTCAACGCCATAATAAGCTTTGCTCTTCTCTGCAAGTATGCGTGATAGATAGATAGAATAGAGTTAAAACGAATCTAGATTCTTCAGTGAAGCGTAGACTTTGACGGTCATTCTGCACACTTCGCAAACTTGAGATCATATTTCGTTGCATGCCGTATCAATCTGGTCAGCACGTTATGATCAAAACAGCTTTACGGCCCTGGCCAGACTTCGCTCAAAAGCGCCCAAAAGCGCGCAAAAGCGCTCAAAAGCGTGCAAAAGCGCCCAAACTTCTCCAAACTCTCCTCACTCTCTCTCTCATCTCTACTCAGACGAGAAAGTGAAGAGACGCCAGAGAAATTTGGGCGCTTTTGCGCGAAGTCTGGCAAGGGCCTACCAGCAAGCGAGCACGGTGTGGTCACAAGGATTATTTGGTAAAACTTACAGTTAATAGTGACCCAAATCAGTATAAATAGTTTCACAAATCAGTATAATTTTGGATTTCGCTAAAGCTTTACATATAGGCTTTACATATCATTCAATATACTGCCACTCAATATGCATAGGGCTTTTTTGATGAAGTTATGGTAGGTCTCAGTAAGAGTCGATAAAATTATTTGGCACGCGATGGAAACTGAACGACACGCTGCTTCATATGAGGAAAAAAAGTAATTCGAGATGAGAAGTTTGTCAACATTCTATTGGCCATTCCATGAAATTCCTTCAAGCGACAAGAAAGAGGTAACTTTCAATCATGGATAGCCTCTAGAATATTAACTTACCCCATAGACATATGGTTATCATGCTCTTCATCGTAGACCTTGAAACAGCGACCACGCTTGGCTCTGCATTTACCCTTTACGTGAAAAAACTGACTAATAAATAGACAGTTTACAGAAAGCTTACCTTGTAAGATTCTCCAAGAAGATGAACCAATTCGTTATCGCATAAAGCACCATTACAGTTACGGATCAGATCTGACTCGTGCACTTCTTCATCAGGGCCTATGGAATGAGGGTGAAAACAGTTGAAAAACACGCACAAGGAATACTTACCAAATATATGTGATTTCAACTTTTGCAAAATCGTCTTTCCTCGTGCGATTCTTTCGACTATCATCGGAGAGACAGTATTCGACGCGTTATCCATCAACAGCAGTGGAGAAACAGTAGCCTCATAAGCGTCAAAAACGCTCGAGTATGTCATCTCTTCAGCCCGTGATGTGCAAAATAAACCTGAAATGACTTAAAAAAAGATGGAAAGATGACTATTTGGATTGCACTAACATGGAAAAAGAAGAATGGCAAAACGACAGACATTCCAAATGTTTATCGGAAGAGAGCTCAGAGGCAGCTGTTCGCGCAACGCATCGCTTATCGCTTTTGCTGCGAGAGACAGGATTATAAATGTCATACCGACATCGTTTTTGACTTAGGCGTCAAAAAATAAAAAGTGCGTAACGTCCGCAGAGTACGGACTTTACATTTGATTTGACGCCTAATATCAGAAAAATGAGAATTCCTTATTTCTGGCCGTCTTTTTGACTCGATTGTATTATAGAACCCAACAGGCATATGCTGAAAAAACTGAGACTTCCAAAAGTACTCCAAAGTGAAGTTTAGTAATTACAATGAACCAATCACGGCCAAAATTGGGATTTACATATTTTCGAGGTCCTTCCGTCCAGTAGCAATGTCTGTTTTGCGTAAAAGGTCAGGAGTTACAAAGAGACACAAGAGCTACAAACAATTTCTGAAAATCAGAATCCAACGGTTAGAACTACAGAACCTTTCAAAATTATCTGTGGGTGAAACTAGAAACTTGCCTGTATTTGATCCTAGTTGTGCATGTATACGGTCTCCCCTTCCCCGCGTTGCATGGTTCTGACCTCTTAAAGGTTTTCTTCGGGCAAAATGCTGCAGGCGCACAAAAGTTATGACCTGTATCTCATTTAGACATAATCAGTTGACTGGTACTTCGGAGATGCCTCATGATTACCCATAGATCCATTATCAAGCAAAACTTATTTACCGTCTTGTTGGCTACAAGCGGTGCACCTGTTATTGCGAGGTCATTGATGTCGTACGCATATTATGTGTACTACGAATATCGAAATAAAAGAACATGTGATTTTGGCATGAGCTCATTGTTTAATCTTCACCTTGAACATTTTGCTGGAATTGAACTTGGATTTTGCAAAGTTGTTTGAAGAAATGCTTCTTGTTTTTTTGTTTTTGCGAACAATCATAGCTAGAAAAAGAACAACATCGAAAACGTATAAATCCCAATTCTGGCCATGAATGGTCCACTGAAGTTCCTGAGCTTCAACCTGGAATTCTTTTTTGAACCCTCACTTTTAGCATTTGAAATCTCACTATCAGCTTTCAGCAAACAAACATTGTTACTGAAAAAGGACCTCAAAAACATATAAAGCCCAATTTTAGCCGTGATTGGTTCTTGGTGATTACTGAACTTCACTTTGAAACTTTTTGAAATCTCAGTTTCAGCGTATGCACTGCGGGCTACCCTGGTTTCCGTGGTCGGCGAGGGACAAACTCAGTAAATATTTTTAGCGAAATTTGCGCAGTTACAGCGGCTACGCAATCTCTCTACGCTTGGTTTTGACTACTGTGCCAATCGATGACCCGTTCGGTTCTATAATGCAGTCGCGTCGAAAAGACGGTCGGAAATAAGAGATTCTCATTTTTCTGATAATAGGCGTCAATTCAAATGCAATGTCCGTACTCTGCGGTTCTTACGCACTTTTTATTTTTTGACGCCTAAGTCAAAAACGATGTTGGTTTGACTTTTGTAATCCTGTCTGCGAGAGCATGTTTTCGCGCATGGAAACGTCCCCTGTCATTTGTGACCATGAAGTAATTCGCGTTTAATGCAGCCAAGTCCGGCGTTTTGCAGGAGGCGAAGGTCAGAACGAAAGTCCTGCCAGGGTTTGAGTGCTGGGACCCTATGTCTGTAGTGGAAAAGTTTATCAGAGGGTGTTGTATTTGTCGTTTGTTCACCTATTCATCATCCATCTGTCGGTTCGCATGAGATTCTATAAGTTCGACTAGCCTCATACACATACGCTCAAGTCAAAAAACCATCGGTATCATCAATAGCTACTCTCCAGTCAGCAGCCAATGGATCACAGTCAAACGCTTTCGACGAAGATATGGCCGGCTACAATGAAGAGTTATGCACGGTTTTGCTGTGGTAGATATATCAACGCAGAAATCACGATGCCACTACAAGAGGAGGCGCTATTCCAGTATCGTCCGGAATTCTAGACGAATTTCGCTTGAAGACCCAGCCACCCAGATCCCGGCTTAAAGGCAGGCATACTTCATGCGATTTCAGTCGCGAGGCGACTTGGCAATTTGCCATAAGTCTTCAGATCCAACACTAGCATGCACATGCATAGTGAGTATAACTTACATGGAGATAAAATAACCTATCTTCTGTACATTCAAATCGTGCCTACAATGAGTTACGGACAGCTGAAATATTGCCAAATCGCGACTGAAATCGGTGAAGTATGCCCGCCCGGCCCCTTATGCAATAACCATCAAAAGCAAACGAAAGTTATGGTAACTAAGCTTCAGCCTCCAATGTCTTCAAAGTTCAAACAATTCAAACTGAAGAAAGTACGGCACCCACTGTCGTGGAGAAGACATATACAGAGAAGAAGCTAACAAAAGAAATTCTCTCCAAACTACACACCACGATTTCAACAAAAGAGAATAGTGGTGCCATATTTGCTAAGCGAGATTACTGAATGCAATAGAGAGAGAAAATCTGTGGGAAAGCAAATGAGATACATATAAGGATGAGATTAAGACGATAAGCTCGGGTACTGACGGACGCACAGGAAGAATCAATGACTAATGACGCCGTGCTCTTTCTTGCAAAAGACACGTATCTACATGTGCACAGATGAGCACTGCACAAATCAATCGATATCAGCCAGAAACATGTTATCGGTGCCCGCTCATAGCATCTTTGCGACCCGCTCACAAAAACCTTGCTTTCGCAACCCCATCGCTTCCTGGTCGTTGCCAACTAGCTGTTATCGCTGCCTTGTCGTCGCATTCTGGGTGCTTTTGCAGCAATAACGCGCTCTGTAGTTATTTTCTGACTCACGGAAGATTATGGCAGCCCGCTGATAGCCTGTCGCTGCCCGCTCGCTACTTTTTCCGAGTTATCGCCGCCCGCCCACTGAAACTGCTTGCTATCGCTGCCCGCTGAGAGTTTCCAATTGTCTGAGAAGGAACCACTTGAGCTGTTTTGGTCAAACTGGTAAGCGATTGGAATTACACGCGCGCGGCCGTGGTTCGACTCCGACTAGCGACACACCTTTTGATGCATCGCTGGGCAATCTTTGATAGCGGCCACTACGCAATCGATGATGACCGCTATCAAGGATTTCGCCTAGCAATTGCACGGATAAAACAAAAACACAATTTGTGATGAAAATTTTATGAAAAAACGAAATGATTGCAGCGCGAATTTAATGAAATGAACAAATGAGTTCTTGTTTTGACAGCTAGTGAAAAGAAAACCAGTAAGGTTTACATAAAAGGGAAGAATTTGTTTTTTTTGCTATCCTCGCCAAAATCAGCTGTTCATCGATCCTGCCCTTTTCGGGCGCGGTTGTGCAATTTTGCGCCGATTTTGTCTGCATTTTTAGCCTGACTGATGTGTATCGTAAGTTACTCAGGAGCAACTTACGGGAGCCTTGTCTGCCTCTCCTCTTTTACACACTATTTGCATCACTCTAACATCAGTTCACGTTCAGGTCACTTGAACGTGAACTGATGTGGAAGAGTTGACTGCAGCAGGTGGACAGATCGTCAACTATCAGTTCACTCGCCATGCATATAGCATGGGAAGGTGGGCAGTCATCAGTTCACCTCGCCTAAGCTAAACTGATGGGATAAGTTCAGTTCACCTGAACTGATCGAACTTTACTACGGGCCATAATAAGCACCATTAATAGCCTAGCTCTCTAACGGTTTTCGTTCTACTTTCAAAAAAAAGAGGAAGACAGCTTCTTGAAAAAGCTTCAAATCTTCTTTGAACACCTTAATTTTGCCTATAAAACCATACCATCTATAGACTTGAATTTGATGAATAAAAAACTGCAACATTTTAGCTCGTTTGTCTTTGCATCTGGGCATGATAGGATGTGACAAATATCGCGCCAATCAGATTCCGCGGTAGAGACTTTTTTCAAACGCTTCGACATCGGCTTTATCATCAAAGGACTAGACGGGCTGTAAGCTTTTTGACTTGCTTACCATATCCTTAAGCGCCCATTCCCACTGTGTCAGTCTACCTTTAATCTGAGACTCACACAACGCGGGACCCTCAAAGCCAGAACAAATCTCGATTCCACCAGCTAGGGACGAGCCGGCACATTTGGTAATAACGAATGTCACTAAGTGTCACAAAAGTTCTTGTCTCAATGAATAACAGTGTGACATCCGTTATCATCAAAAGTGCGGCCTTGTCGCTAGCTTGTGTGCTCGAGGTTCTTTCGCTTTTGGCTATGAGGGTCTCGTGCTATGAGCCTCAGGCTAAGTCTAAACTGACATAATGGGAAGAGGCGCATGAGGCTATGATAAGCATGCTAAAACTTACAATCGCTTCAGACGTCTGATGATGATGTTGATGTGGAAACATCAGAAGGTAGGATAAAGTTCCACTACAGAATCTGATTGGCAATTACAGTAATTATAACTGCAACTGCACTATGAGTTGAAAGTTTTGTTTTTGGTATAAATCACTAAGGGACTATCTCAGGCTTTTTTCAATATTTCGTATGCCAACTAAGCTTAATGAAAGTACAAATAGGCTAAGCATCTTGTTGATAGTAACAGATGATTAAGTCTTCGATGACCGACGCTTGCTAAGAGGGTCTCACAAGTTACTCGATATGATATTATATATGTTTTAGCAGGACCATTTCGACATTTCACGATATTGTTTCTGACATAATTACTGACTTTTCACTGAATTCCAAAAAGAGTTCAAACTGTTTTTAAAAAATTTAAAAGAATTCTTTGTTGCTTAGTTTGGAAATTTTGAAACATCAAATTCATCTTCTCTGCAGCAGTAATAGGGTCCAAAATATTATGAAAGTCTGGTTTCTCGCTTTTTACTTTTTTCTAATTTTCTTGGTAATTTCCTCTTCCGGCCACCAAATCTCCCACTAAAGTGTTTTGAGCTCAAAGCACCGGAAAATTTATTTTTCAAAAGTTTCCTATTTGTGGTAGTAGATGCATATAGGGTTGAGACAAGTTGCTTCAAAGCCGATTTCGTATTGTTACAGGCGTCCCAAAAATTGTGAACACTTTTTGATCGTTCCTCTCTTGCTTTCGTGCCTTTAACCGAGATTAGAACACCCACTCTGTAAGGTGTTTTAGCTTAGATTTACAGGGGACGAGCCTCCGATCTTTCTTCGTTGTTGTAGGATTACGGTATGAACTTTCAGCATGTAGCGCCACTGCGGTAAAAAAATTCCAGAAAATCCAAGAATATCAAAGCTTTCAGCCGCGCTTTCACTACATAAATTTTTACCAGTTTTTCGCGCTTTCTAATGGTGTAATCACACTTCTGATAAACATTGGAAAAGCAGTCGCTACCCTTAACCTGAAAAAACGCATAGACGAAGCATCACAGTGAAGTGCAACTTTCATATCTAGGCTCAGAATTTCTGGCCTCTTTGGTATTTTTTCTAAGCTTTCACTTTTCCACACAAATTGCTGAGCTCTTTGTTAATTCCGTAATCCTGTTTAATGAAAAGTGAATGATGGATGATTCTAAGTAATACTGTATAATAATGTAACAATATGTGATATGTGTAATACTGTACTTCATACTGTGTATCTAACGGGGAGAGGATACTTGACCGTGGTGACGTGGCCTTTCGACTTGTGGCGTATGTCTGACACATCCGCTTTGAACCGCTAATTTCTCAATCTGGTTATTTGCGGAACGCACAAGAGTACGAGTAATTTTGATAAGCGCTAAAGGTCTAGAATAATCTATTATCCAGTGCTGTCGATTACTGCACAATCGGTCGGTGCGAACATTTTTACGTTAGCGCATTTATAAAGGCTAATTCTTCGCAGTCAGCAAAAATAGTTTCGGAATCAGCGTATCAAAGGTAACGTCCCACTAGACTGGGGGTACCTGGCTCTGGTAGTAATGTACCAGTAAACCCCCTTACGACGACAGAAGTTTGCAGCGCGAAAGGAGGTCTACGAAGTCTGCAAATCACCCCTCAAGTGTCCCGAATCTTACGGTAGGCTCGGGCGAGTGCAAGATGCATGCAAGGTAGAGACGCAGATCGTTGCGGGACCCTGCGCTCATGACTGTGTGCGCTATAAGCACTCTGGCCTTACAAACGATATTGCTGTGTGGGCGGCGTCCGGGCCTACCGTAAGATTCGGACCACTTTCGGAGCAAATTTCAGGCTTGCTAGACCCCCTCTTACGCTCCGAACTTTAGTCATCGCTTAGGTAGGGGGTCTGCTTTAACAACGCCACAAAAACCCGGCGCCCATCTTCTTGCCCATCTTCTTTCTGCCTTTAAGGCAAGCTTCTTGATGCATGACATATTGCAAAAACCACGGTTATCAATTTCTTTCGCTTGTAAGTTGAACCTCGCTTCACAAAATGGCATCTCAAACTCGGCGAAAGACGTGAAAGGAAAAGAGTTGTTAACGATCAAACACTGTCCACATTTTTGGGACACCCTGTACTTGTTTAGAAAAGTAATCATGAGTTTCATTGATAATTAAAATTTTTGGTACCTTTACAATATATAAAACTTAGTCCACAAATAAATTGACGGGAAGTATATGAAAAGGAATTTTGCTTAGAGGGTGAAAATCAGCTATCGCTTATACCAATTCATTCGATTCTGTACGCAATTGAGGAAGATGAGGGATACCACTGATTAGCAAAGAGGTAATAAGATCAGCAAAAATAATTCTCTTTGCATCAGAAAGTCTTCTTTCTCGAACGCCTCTCTATAGCTACGCGAATTTTGGAAAAGACTTCGGTTAAGCAGGCTGACATATTCTTTTTTCCACATTCTCAGTTGTCTTGTTGGATTTTTGTTTGAAATAATTTCGTAATTCATTTTACAGAGAAGTGATGTTTCATTTACAGCACCCGAAGTGCCTCCCACTGATGTTGCAGCTCATGGCATCACACATAATCAGGTGCAAATTAATTTTGCACCAATCCCAAACATTGAATTATACGGAGAATATGTCGGCTGCAAGGTAAAAATTTTGATAGTTGTTAGCTGTGTTTTCATACCAGATTCAGAAGCCACGGTCAAAGTAGTTTTCACTAAAAAGAAACGAAGAAGCTGCAGACATAATCATATAGGGTGAAAAAAGTGCTGTACCTCAGTTTTCCTTCTGAAAAACTCACAGATAGAGAAAATCTATGGTTTCTTGATTCGCACATGTAGGCGAGACCTTATAGATTAGACTAACAAGGGAAGCTTGTTTAGTCAAAGTGGCCTTTTTAAATGAAGATATATACCGTATTAAAGAGCATAAAATGCTGACTCCAAATCAGCTTCCATATCTGCAAAGCGTTTATGCACGAGAACTTATGAGGGTTTCTTAAAGCCAAAAATTGAACGTGCATTTTGGATAGAATGAGTTGCTAAAATCTTACTAGCCCTCAAATAATGCAACCAAGTGTAATATATTTTTTATTTGAGAGTATTTTTTATTAAAGTGCTGTGACGATTGTCACTGCACCATTGAAGAGCTAGAAAAAGTATTACGGCTATTTTTGTCCTACTTGCACATTCAGTTTTTTGCTTCAATGAGTGCTCATAACTCATCGTCCATAAACGCTCTGCAGATGAGAAACAGATGTGGAATCAGCAGTTTATGCCCTTCAATATACGTCCCATCTAAAAAGGTCACTTCGACCAAACATGCATTCCTTGTAAGTTAAGTTTGACTTGGAACCGTTTTTTTCTGTCCATTTAGGCGAGTGATAGATAACACGGAGCAGCATCATCGATGATGCGCTGACCAACTACATCACCAAGGGCGACATCAATTTTAAATCAAAGTAGTATGTAAAGCATTCTCCCCTTCGCAGTTCTGCACTTTTTTATAGATCAATGCTTTGAGATTCTGACTGAACAAGGAAAATTATACATAGGCATTTTTCAAGAATTCTCGAAAAAAGGGCTAATCAGATTTGCTTTTGCTCAACATGAATCCCTATGATTTGGAATTCCGCATTGCAGCAAAAAGTAACAGGAATATTGAAAAAAAACATCGACTTTGTTAACATCATAATTTTGGGTCAATGAAAGATACTTAGTCTCTGTGCCACGTTTTCTGGTCACACTCTGTTTTTAAAAAAAGTTCACAACTTCTCTCCTAGTGCAACTGCTAACTGGCTACTTTCAGGATATTTCGGGGGCCACTACTACATTTTTTGAGCACTAGAGGATTTCTATGCCCACGTTTGAGATCAAAATTTTTTTTCAAAAACTTCACATCTCCTTCACGTTTGTAAAAGGGAGTTGCAAGGTTTGATATGAGATGCGTTGCGAAGAGGAACTGCCGCCGCGTAATATTGCAGCGTTCTGTAGCCAGTATTTGCAAAATGCTAGAATGCATTCATATCTTAGGATTTATGCCAAATTTGCCAGAAAAATCTTTATCTTTATCTTTACACTCAAGGTGTATCATCCAGCCTTTGTAAAAATTGTTAGTATGGAGCCAGTCGTCCTAGAGCGTACAAGAACCAGAAAGAGAATGCTCGTATTTCGATGAAACTGAGCAAAAGAGCTACTCATACGGGATGTGGTACCCAGGAAACCGAAAAGATACGACCAAATGCGATTGATTTATATGCCTACATATATTAGGTTGTCCCGAAAGTTTTGTCGATTTTTTCAAACCACTATAAAACCACGCACAATAAACACCCGAAAGAGTTTCAACGTGTATTCGATGCAGCTTTTTCTTCTCTTTCTTATGGATACATTCAAGTACCGTAATCTTGTATGCATTTTTCGATATTTGTTAAAATTCTCCATCCGCCAATTTTATCTGCTCAAAGTTCGGCAAATTTTCAAAAATTTCACTCTAAAGTTTCTGAAATGTTTAAGTATGACTCAAATAGAGCAACTCTCGGACTACAAGGCCATATTTTTGGTTTCTCCTAATCTGCTGTTTTTAGCTTGGAAAAAATTATTTTTTTAAGGGGTCTCGATTTTTGGCAAAGTCATGAAACACGCAACTGCAGCAAATACACGGAAGTTTTCAAAGTTTCTGCGAATTAAAAAATGATTCTTATTAAGCGTTATTTATGCAACATGACCAAGTTTGATTTGCTTTGAAAAAGCAGCTATTTGAAATTTTCGGTACTTTTACGTGGTAAACATAATCAAGAAGTCGCGGTTTTTATTCAATAACTGATTGTAACGGGTTTGGTAAACGTGGCCCATTTAATCTAAAATAGATACAATGTAGCCAAAGGTTTGCTCTACAAAATAGTTATTAGCATTCTGTGAAAACATTGGGATAAAAAATTTCAAAGTTCAAGAAAGATTTGGCGTTACTGCTGAGCTGCTCAAAAAGCCATGGCGATAACATTGCAAAGACAAGGTAGAACAGAGAGAAAATATAGCTGTTGTGGAACGCGTTGAGTCGTTGACGATTTATTAGAAAAACACAAGAGTTCCCCCTCTGCCTATCCGCGTACATGCCGAGGGTTCACTAGGAATAGCTAGAGAACAACACACAAATATATCAAGGTTGCGGCGGGTACGCCGCAACCACAGAGACCGTATCGACCTAGCCTATAGTGAGCGAGCAAGTTCCAATATAAAGGACGGCTCTACAACACCTCCCTCCTAAGATGAACAAAGGTACATTTTACAATAAGGATCTACTTTTAGACGCTCGGGTGAGCGACGATGGCGACTTGGTCTGGTTGATGTCGGCGGCGTAGACGAGATGGCTTGGTGTTCAGCAGCATCCATACCATTGTTACGTCGGCCTTCGCCGGGGATGGACGGTGTTGAGTCATGATGTCGATCCATACTTGCGGCGCGGCGCATCTGGTTCGCATGACGTCTCCATAACTGGCCACTCTTCCGTAAGCACGTCATAGAGCCTTCTCCATAGCGTTTCTTCACTCGTGCTGGAATCCATTTTCACATCCAGAGCGAAAATCACGTGCCCACACGGCTTCTTCTGGCTGGTACGCTTTCCTTCGTGTTCCATGGTGGCGGTTAAACTGCTTCTCCATGGTTTCGTTGCCCATCTTTCCTTTTTATTTGAAATCTTCATTCAACAGCGACAGCGGTATCCTCATCTGACGTCCCAGCAGCAGTTCGGCAGGTGAACGTTGTCCTGGAGCAGTTGTACAAGGCGTTCGTCGATACGACTGCAGGAACTCGGCAAGCTTCTCTGTCGTTCCTCCCTCCTTAATTTTCTGGAAGGTTCTCTTGAAGATATCCACAAACCTTTCCGCTTGTCCATTTGATTGTGGATGGAATGGGGGCGAACGCATGTGCTGGATTCCTCGCTCTTCACGAAAGTTTTGAAACTCCTTTGCTGTGAACTGAGTTCCGTTATCCGACACGATTACTCGCGGATTTCCAAATCGAGCGAATAGCAACCTAAGTTCTTTCAAGGTAGGTGTAGTTGACGATGAAGACATCTCAAACACTTCTGGCCATTTGGAATAAGCGTCAACTACCACGAGGTACATCTTACCATTCAGCGGTCCTGCGTAGTCAATGTGGAGACGATTCCATGGCTTTTCTTCCATCTTCCACGAGTTAAGCACTGTCTTGACTGGCATCTTGGCAGCCTCCTGGCACTCCCTGCATCGACGGACTGAATCCTGATCTCTCTGTTGATGCCCATCCAGTATGCAAAACCTCTTGCAAGCATCTTCATGTGTGTCATTCCTGGGTGTCCCTCGTGTAACTGCTTCATGACTGCTGATCGCAGTGAGGATGGAATGACTATCCTGTAGCCAAAGTACAAGCAACCATTCTGCACTGACAAGTTCTCACTCAGTGCTTTCCAACTGCTGAACTCTTCTTTCGGTTTGGACGGCCATGCTCCCGATTTCAGCATTCGTATGATCTGCATCATGATTTCGTCCTTACCGGTTTCCTCTTCAATCTTATCCCTGGTAACTGGTAACGCTCGTATAGCTTCAGCTTGAACAGCTCGCACATCTTCTTCAATCTTTGCAATCACGATGTCCTCGGTTTGGAATGGCCTTGTAGGGATCAGTCGAGACAGGTCATCGGCTTGTCCAAACTCCGTCGTTTTCCGGTACTCCAGGTCGAAGTCGTATGCAAGGAGAATTAGTTTCCATCGCTGTAACCTGTTTGCTGTATACACCGGCACCATCTTCTTCGGTCCAAAGATATGCAGCAGTGGCTTGTGGTCGGTCAGCAATCTGAATCGACGTCCATAAATGTAGCGATGGAACTTACGGACTGCAAAGACCAATGCAAGTCCTTCCTTCTCAATCTGTCCGTAATTCTTCTCCGCGGCAGTGAGACTTCGGCTTGCGTGACAGATAGCTTTTTCAGTTCCGTCCGGCATCTTATGCGAGATTACTGCCCCAATTCCATAATCTGACGCGTCGGCGGCAACGACCATCTGCAAACTCGGATCAAAGTGTGTAAGTAGCAGATCCGAAACTAAAACTTCCTTGGTGTGCTTGAATGCCTTGTCGCATTCTTCAGTCCATTTGAAGTGTGCGTTCTTCTTCAAGAGTTCGTCCAGGAAGGCACGCAGCTGGCGCATTTCCGATACGAACGATCCATGGTAATTGATCATACCAAGGAATGAGCGAACATCCGCTATGTTCTTCGGTGCTGACATTTTGTTGATGAACTCAATTTTCTTCGGGTCCGGACGGCGTCCATTTCTGTCGATAATGCAACCGAGGTAACAGATTTCTGACATCAGGAAGCTACACTTTTCCAGTCTGACGTGGAATCCGTAGTCCTTAATACTCCTGAACAACGATTCTGAGTTTTTGCGATGTTCTTCATAAGTCTTGCCTGTGATGATGATATCATCAAGTAAGCGGCTACGCCTTCCAGTCCGCGTTATCGCATCCATTTTCTGCTGGAAGATACCGGGAGCGGATTTCACTCCGAATGGTAGGCGATTGTAACGATACAATTGTGCGTATTGATGGTAACATCTCCTTCGATGCTTCTTCAACTTCCACTTGCAAATAAGCTTCGGCTAAGTCGAGTTGT